GAGAAAGTATTTTAGCATGCAACGCGATTCATTTCGCTGCCGCGACGGATGCTAACGATTTCTCCGTGGAAATCAGAACCACCGAATACCAAGTGAATCAGAATTTTCATTTGGGATCGCGCAAATTAGTAAACTGCATGCAGCGAACAAAGAGTGAACCGGGCGCGATGTACAAAGGGGAGGAAAAGAGCGAGCGTAGCTGTGAATGGTGAACAAAGGTGTTGCAAAAGAGTGAAAATAAGAAGACCATGGATAACGACATCTCGTTAGAGTATCACTTTCGTCTGTTTAGGATTCAGAAGCCGTAACTACGGGAAAGAACCATAGCCTCGTATTTGGTCCGGCAGACTCTCGTTAACGTATAAATATCTAGTTGGCACGAATCCGAATATCCGAATCGTTTCTTTGCCGTCGCATCGGTGTTCATCGAAACAGAGAACGAGAGGACGAGAGGGGAAAAAGGAGGAACGTTTTGTCTAGACGGCTCGGAATCGGGAACAGGAAAAGAAAGGAGCAAACGTCGCCGACGTCGCGTCGGTGGCGAATGTCCGCGTACTTCGATGTCGATGTTATATATGAACGTGCTTTCGAGCACTTTCTCTTCCGCGAGCCTGCCTACACGATTCTCGGCTTTAGCATGAATAGTCAACCCGTGTCGCCGGTATCAGCTGTTCCCGATGACATTAATGACCGAAGAGGAACAACCTCCTCCGCCTTTGGAGCCCAGCTGCCGCGTAACCCGGCGAGCTGAGGTGATTCCTTAACAATAATTCTTCGAATCGTAATTACTTTCCAGGAAGTACCAACGTCATATTTTTAGAAAAACTGATTAAACCCGGTATCGAGTTTTTAATTCAAAATTCTATCTACCCAATTGTAAGATTTGTCATAAAAATAACTGGTCAAATTAACAAATTAAACCAATATTGATAAAATACACCAATAGGACTTTGATTCTGTTTATGCATTAGAAAACAAATTTGAAGCAACAGAAACTCCTGTGTCAGAAGTGATTTAAACATGAATCTCTAAGTTCTAACATCAGGGGATAAATCCAAGTGTTCGAAGGAATTCGGAAAACCGGTAATCATTAGTACCGTTAACTCCACTATTTTAATGGAACAAGTTTAATAAATGCAACCATAAGAAGATACCACGCAATAAATCATTGCGACGCGACAGGATTTATACGCGCGGGCCAGGGCAAGAAGGGTGTTCATAAATTCCGAGTAGAAGTCAAAGTTTGCCAATTAGAATAATATGAAAACCGCTCGGCTCGCGGATTTACATGAGTCGTCTATTCGCGCTACCGTGACAAATGACCAGAACGAAGTAACGCCAACTTTTCTGCTCCGCGATTAAGTTTGCGCCGGGGTTCTAATAATCGTCGGAGCATACATTATGCATAGACGAATGGAAAAATCAAGTTCACACCGCACAAGATATTATCGAAGTGAACAAAGTTCCAATTCGTTCCCTGAAATAAAGGCCACGGTTCCGATTGTGTCAATTAAAAAAATTGTAATCCAAATTACAGTCTCATAAGCTACTGTAACATTACCGTGTACATCATATCTCTAATAAACACTGACCTTTTCTCGAAAAGGTAAAAAATTAGGCAAGTTTGAGGAGCAATCAAACTAAGATCTAGAAATTCGTGAAATCGCAGCGAATGTGATAGTCAAGTTTTCTTTTAAGGATGTATTGGCTATACAGTCAATCCCAAAAGTTTATGCACCTTAGAAAAACGCATTTCCTATAATTAAAAAGAAATCAGACGTCGGAAGGACAATGCTAATAATAAATAGCTACGTGCTAAAAAGTATAGAAG